TCAACTGGTTGATGGTGATGCGAAGCCCGTCATGGGCTACATACATGAGGCAATGGCTAGGGCAAGAACTGAAATAAAAGATGTTTTAAAGGATGATGAAAATATGCACAAGGCTATACTTGAAATTATTGAAAGGAGATGGGATACCCAGCTTCACAAGCACCTCCATTCAGCCAGTTATTTTCTAAACCCATCTCTTCACTATAAGCACCCATCCATTGAATCAGATCGTGTAATAAATGGTGGGTTCTTAGCTGTGCTGGAGAGGTTGGTGTCAAAAAAAAATATCCACGATGAGATCCAGAGCCATTAATTGATTAAGTTCAAGTTAGCCTTGGGAAACTTTGGGAGAGATATTGCCACTCAAAATAGGGACACTACAGATCCAAGTAAAGGCCAAAAGCTCAAAAATAATCTTATTTGTCTCTTACTTTATGTATAGTTCCATTGTTTATTTTATACCCTTAATTATATAAAATATTATACCATGATGGGCATTATATGGAAGCGAGATACCAAATCTACAATGTCTCGCTATTCGAGTGTTGAATCTCACATGTACCTCATCTGGTTGGAGCGCAATTAGAGTGCATTTGAGCACGTAAGTCCTTTACTCCTTATTCCTTAATCTTTATTTCTTGAATTTCAATTTTCTAATCTAAAATCTAATTTATCTGAATTCAAAGTTCTACCACATCTTCATACAAAAGAAATAGGTTGAAGCAGAAAAAGTTGAATGATTTGGTTTATATACAGTATAACGAGCGGCTTAGGGAGAGGTATAAAAATCGCACGAAGCTCAACCCTATTCAATTATATGAAGCTGATGGTGATTTCATAAGTGAGTGGACCATGGATCCAAGACAAGAGCGTGTGTTTGAGGGTGAGGATCTTACATGGCTTGATATCGAGCTAGCAACAGGTGCTAATGAAGAAGATCGACCTAACACTAGAGCACAAAGGAGTAGAGGAGTTGCTGGGTCTAGTCGCACTCGCACATTAGCTTCAAAGGTCGAGGAGGAAGTTGACTCAGAGGAGACCGATGAAGAAGAATACATGAAGGCCGTCGAGGATGATATTGATGATGCGCATGACGACTCTCAAGATGACTTGTCTAATTGATATTTGAAATAATGAAGTTCAAATTTCAAAATTGACTCTCAAAATGGATGATTGTATTAAGTTATTATTTATTAACTATTAACTCTTCTTGAGCTTGACTTTTGATTTGTATTTTGTAATATCGTTATTTTGTACTTATGGTTGTTGATGGTTGTGCTTAATTATAATTGTGCTTATGGCGCAAATTTGTGCTGATGGTTGTTGATTGTTGAATGCTTTATGAAGCTGGTTTCAAGTTTCTAGTTTCTATCAGGGGATAGTGGATAACTGGATACAGAATCTCCGACAGCTAATAGTTTTGAAGTTAATAATTAAACTAAAATACCTATTATCACATATATCACCTTCATATTTGTTTCCTATGCATTAACTTATGTTTTTAGATTTTTTAGAATTTTTTACATTTATTGACTGCATCATCGCGATGCACCCGCATCCGGGCCACATCGCAGCATCGGCCCCCCACCTCATCAGGGCCGCATCCCGCATTTTAAAACACTGCTCTCTAGGCACTTTATTGTATGTTTTCTCTAAACCAATAAAGACCACGTGGAGGTCTCTTTCCTACTACAGAAAACTTCTCAATCAATTACCTAAGTAGGAAAATAGCCTCAATTGTTAACCTCCCAAACATAAAACCGAACTGATTTTTTGATACACTTGTTTCATGTCTTTGTTGTTGTTCAATCACTCTCTCCCACAGCTTATTATTGCGTCTCATAATCTTGATTCCTTGATAGTTCTTAAAAGTTTTGTATCTCTCTTTTGTTCTTGAAAATAGTTACCACATCTATTCGTATGGTGTTTTCTTTGTTCTCAACATCTTGTTGAACAGAGTGGTCAGCCATAATATGTCAATCTCTCCCATGCACTTCCAATATCTTCATTTTTCTCAAAGCTTATTTCACTTCAAATATCCTAATCCTGTGAATGTATCTATGATCTCATTTATGTCTAAGGTTTCTCCTAACGATGTGCTCCCATTGTGTTCATCATTTAACAATTTTTTAAAAAACATTTGCCACCTTTTGTGCTCCCATAATGTTGGTCATTTAACATTTTTTTAAAATAAATTTGCCACCTTTCGCTCATCATCCTTCACCAAAACTCTCTAATCCTCACTCCTAATGTATAGATCTCTACACTTCCTCTCTCTCTTTTTTGCTAGTTTGAATACATCTTTTTCACCTTCTCTTGTACCAGTTTATTGTATAGATTATCATATACCTTAAGTTTAACCTTACTTATTATTTCTTAGTGTTTTATTAGCATTTCTATATTCTTCTAAATTTGGATCATTTCTATTACATTGTCAAGTTTTATCATGATAGTTTTTCGTTAATAGCCTTTTGAACCTTATCATTCCACGCCAAGTTTCCCTATTGGGATTATTTTCCCTCTAGATTCTCCTAAAATTGCTTTTGCCACTTCCAGGATATAATCAGCCATCTCATGCCACTTTCCTGAGGGTGACTACTGCAATCAACCACAAATTATTTCTCTATATGAACTGGAGAAATCGACATTTCCTGCTTGCTTATCTGAAAAACCAACGACTTTATTGTTTTCCACTTGCTTACCATTTTTCGATTTACTTGTTATCTGCTCAAAGAAATCAAAGTAGGGGATTAAAAGAGCATGAGAAGGATAAGCATATAGGCTTAGTTTTTCTTTATTTTCTTTGCGATGTGATTTTCATCAATTTCAGAATAAATTTTATGTTTACTGGTATATATTGATTTGCATGACTAAAGTAGCCGAAATACTATTTTAAATTGAAGGTTTTATTGGCATCAAATTGTCAGAGCATGGTTATTTGGACATAAATGACTACTAAATCATGTTGGTTGACTTTATCAAAATTGATCAATTAAATGATTACAACTTGTCATTATAAAAAAATAAATTGCTTTTCTTTTAAATGAAATGAATCTTTTATGTCATCCAACAAGAAAATAAAGACAATATGATGATGACATGATCTTTAATAATAAGAAAAATTTAAGACAAATGGCTGAAGGACGAGTTCACTTGTAACATGTAAGGGTGTTATCTAGTATAGACAAATTAGATAGGTTGCAAAAAATGTTTGAATCATATAACTATGCTAATAAATATGAATTGCAATAAAAAAGATAAACCAAATATAATTCTATGGACAAATATTATTGTATGAATGGTATAGCCCAAACAAAATGAAAGCAAATTGATATTCGTGATATGTCCATATTATTCACTTTTGCCTAGTTTTGTTTGAGTAGGCACTTCAATCAAGTGGTATTTTCCATAACTTTGAGTGCAATATGAGTGATCTTCCAACTAAAATAGGGTAAGTAGAAGTTTTGAGTACCTAAAGTGTGTCTAGGTGTGTCAATACTCAATACATGCCATGAACCATGGACACGTTTGTCCAATTTAGGTTTTCCTTCAGTTTGTTTAGTTATAACATTCATACAATTTGCTCTTAGCCGTAAATTTTCTACAGTTTCTCTCTTTTTGGTCACGAACAATAAATCATGGGCTAATTCAAAAACTTTGTGCAACATATCTATAAGCAATTCAAGAGCACCCAATAAGTTATGTCAATCATAAAACAATTGTCCTATTTTCTTCTATCATTCAATGCTGTGCCATCACCAAGTTCTCTTAGGATTTTCTTTTTTTTTTTGGGTCATATAACATGTAAATGATCCATGGTATATAAAAGAAAAAACAGTTTGCTTTTTAACCATCTTATTATATTTCACAAGGTCAGCCAACACACAATTACAAGTAGCAAATTTAAATCCAAAAAACCTAAATTCAGATACCAATAGCTGTCAACAATTCATTAATTTGAAATTGCACAGGCTACTTTACGCATGCAAATCAATTTCTATAAAACCCAATGAAATAGGATCAGATAAATAGACCAGATGAAGCACAAGATTAATCAACACAAATCAAATCACAAATAATCCATGAATGACTAAGCCTAGATACTTCTCCTTCTCATGCTCCATCAGTGTCTAATTTCAATTTCTTTGAGAACATAATACATAAATTGAAAAATGACAAGCAAGTCCACAACAACCAACTCTCTACTTTTGCACACAAGCAAGAAAAGTCGTTGATTTCAAATTGTGTAGAGAGATTTTGTGTTTGATGGCAGTAGCCACCTGATGTGCTACAGGGGAGAGAGGAGAAAGGAAAAAACTTTAAAGAAAGAAAATTCATATTTCACTTACTAAAAATTGACATTTGTAAACATGAATAACAAATAACCAAGGAGATCATTAACTATAGAAAAAGACCCTAGTAACCCAATTTAATGTTTGGAGTATAGATCTCACTTGACCAACAAAACAAAAGGAGCAGCGCTCTGTATCTACATCTGAAATGATGAAAAAAACTCCATAACAATCCATAATCCCCTTATTTTCCTAAAAAACCTAAGGCATGTTTGGCAGTTGGGTTCATCCAGAGCCTGATACAAACATAAAGCCCCCCAATAATTCAAAAATAAAAGATAACCAGACTTGTAACAACATGATTTAATATATGTGACACGCTACATTTTCAAAGACAGAGACAACATCAAACAAAAACAGGGTGTTATATCAAGCTACTCATCTGAAGTTCCAAATCAATTCATTTATACAAAGTCATAAAACAAAACTCAATCAATTAGTGAAAAACGAAAACACCCAAAACCCAAAAATAAACAAATAATACCCAAATTTTAAAATTAAGTACCAATCATCCATAAACGATAAAAACAAAATAAAAATTATACAAAAACATAAATTCAACAATTTGCACATCAACTATAAAATCCAATAATCGTTACCCAAAATCAAATTGAATGAATAACCAAATACTTTTGTATTCAAATGTACCTAAAAGGGAATCGACAGCTCTCATATTGGCAATTGGGTTATCCTGAATCAACACAGTGAAAGCTGCCACTTTATCAGCCCCTGTACCTGACCTTTGAGCAGTTGCTACCATTCTCATATCTCCACTCTTTTGAGAAGCTTGTTCATACTCAGCAACATATTGGCCCATTAATCTACCTCCAACCTCCCATTTCTCTTTAACCAATTCATCAGAAGGCTTTGTACCAATGCCTACACCTTCTTTGACAATTTTCGACTCCAATTTTGAAGCATCCACATACCATTGCCCCGATAAGGAGCTGGGTTTCATCAAAGGAAGCTTATTCTTAATTGGAGGCATAGCTTCTCTACTAATGACGGTCTCATTGTTTCGGTTTGATTTCTCTCCAAAAGCCCTAATTCCGTTTGGTTTTTTATCCTTCTTTGAAAAGTTGGCTTTCTGGTTAGAGTTTGAGGCAGTCGAGCTCCTCTTCTCCTCAGAGTTTGAGGCCCTAATTTCATTCTTTTTTGTGGATTTTGAAGGGGGCGAAGAACCAGAGGGCTTTATGGGACCAGTTTTCCGAAAGTCTGAATCATCGAAACCAGAGGAAATTGCAGACCCAAGACCAAGTTTTGAAGCGAACTCAGTCACCTCTGATCGAAGCTGATCGATATCTTCTCCTTTTCGAGTTTTTTTGGGTTTGGGTTCAGAGGTTAAAAGTTTGGAGATGGCCATGTTACAGAGAAGAAATCAGAGGTTTTTGGTGTGGATTTTAACAACGAAATCCAGCTTTGGAACCATTCGCGTACTCTCTCTCTCTAAAATCTGAGTGTCCCTATCTTATGGAACGTTTTCTTCAGCTATAGATACTGATTAGGGTTTTGGGTTCCAGTGAGAAGAAGACTGGTACAACTGTGCAATTCACGTCGGTTTAAAACTTTACGGTGTGTTTGGAACGACCGAGTAAGTGTATTTTTGTTTGCTGCAGATCATTAACCTATATAAAGGACGAGGGCTCTATGGGTCCTACGACTCGTATATGTAGCCCACTTTTTTATGTTATGTTTTTTATGGAATTTGGATCTAATTTTTTACCCCACTTCTTTATTCTATGCTTTATATGAAATTTGGATCTAATTTTTTAGATATATATATTTTCGAACATGGAGATCATTAAAAAAAACAAAAAATGAAAGCTAACAAATAATTTTTTGGAGATAATTTTTGAATGGTTAGATTTTATTCTTCTTGAAGGGACTGCAGTATTACATACATCTTTGTTATGGATGTTTGATACCTCGGCGGACACAAATGTACAATTGGGTCCCCCGACTCATAGACTACTTATTGTTTAAATCTTATTTTTGAATTATTCATCATCTTTCGTGTTACCTCATTGAAAGTCATATCTACATCTAAAATAAAAATTCATCTAAAGTGGCTTAGGATGTATTTCAAATCCTAAAACCGTCTCTAATATGGATTTTGGAAGGGGATTGCATTTGGATAAGACCTCATTTAGATTTCTTCTGTTTTAGGTAGGACTATAGTCAAGTTTTGGGTCAGCACCGATAAATTGAAAGCTCCTAAAGGCTACAGTGTTTATTCTCTTTATCTCTTATGAGAAAGGAAAATTGTTTCATGCAGGCTGGACCGCATGACTACATATGCAGTAAAAAAAAGTGTAAAGCATCTATCTTAAAGATGGATACAATTAAGTGCTCCATCTAAACACATTGAAAACTAACGGTCTAAATGTTTGCTTTCTAGAGTTATTTTTCATAGTTTTTAAAATTTATTTATTTTTTCATATTCATGATCTCCATATTAGAGATTACATATCCTTAAAAATTAAATCTAAAAATCCCCCAAAAATAGATTTATTAATAGACGCATTTCTATATATGCAGGCTTGGCCGCTTAGAAACTGGGTCCTATGAGAAATGCATGAGATGCAAAAGTACCCGCCTTTTAGTCCCTCATACTTCCCTTATGGTAAACACTACAATTTAGGTGATAGGGTAGACCTTCAAAGTCGGGGTAGGAATGGGTCGGTTCGGGTCTAAACCGACCTGACTAGGCCAAAGTTAGATCCATACTTGAAATGGCCCTGGGTTTATAATAAAAAATATACGAAGATGATTTTACACATTTTATATGTATATATGTATATGTATATATGTAGATGTATATACATATGTATACATATAAAATATACAAATGTTTTTGTACTCATATATATTGGATCATTTCAAAAAATTCCTCATAATTTCATAAAATGGCTTGCTCACATGCATCAGAGATTTATTCACTAATATCCAAATAGTAAGTTGGAAAGGAATATCTAAACACTTACACATTTAGGGGTATTCTTTTGTTAAATTTTGGGGGGCACAATGAAAGTTGTCAATTGAAGGAAAAAATGCACACATGCCCTCCAATACACCATTTATTAGAGATCCTGTTTGTGAAATCGGCGACTGTGAAATCGGCGACTGTGTATTGATAGGGCCAAACTCTCAACAAGGAATTCGGGTATAGTAAAACCCAGATCAATGCATCTTGGCCTGATTCCACCCCCAAAAGTCCCCCTCCCCCCCTGAATATCTTGGGAAGGGGGGGGAGGTGGGGAGGAGGGGAGGGAGGGTGATTACTTTGATTAAAGCTTGTTTATCTAATCTCTCTATTTATCAAATGTCTATTTTGCATAGCTTGTTTATCTAATCTCCCCATTTATAAAATGTCTATTTTGCATATTCCCTTTTCGATGGCCAGAAAGATTGAGATGCTCATCATGAACTTTTTTTAGGGTTCTTTAGGGGACTCAAAAAAATTCCATCTTTTTAGATGGGATAGGGTGTATACACCAAAAGGGGAAGGTGATATGGGGATTAGGAAAATTAAGCTGGTTAATCAGGCTTTACTATGTAAATGATCTTGGAGAAGTCTAAATTTTAAGTATCAGCTTCGGATGTATTTGTATATCACAAAGGTGAGAGAGATATTTTGGAAGTGGATGTTAGAACAAATTTATACAGTCTTTTTTAAATGGGTTACAAGAAGTGTAGGGCGAAAGGGAGATGGATTGCTCTACCAATAGGCAGTTTGAAACTAAATTTTGATGAGAGTTCGCTTGGCAATCTAAGTCCAGCTAGGAGTTCTGAGGGATTGGAAAGGACAGGTTTTGTTTTCTTATGCTGAGCCTTTGGGAGAGAAAACCGCTAACCATGCTGAGTTTATGTCTCTTCTTCATGGTCTAAATTTTCTTGGTGCCGATTTTTTGGAATCGACTTGCATTATTGAAGGTGACTCCCTCAATGTTATCAATTGGTGTAAAGGGGAAAAGAAAGTATCATGAGAATTGAGATCGGTTTTGCTATAGATTTTGGATATGTCCAATTCTTTTTCTCCCTCATTTGTCCATGTTTATGGGGAAGGTAATGATTTCGCCGATAGTTTAGCAAGAAATGGTATGTTTTTCACATAGATTTTAGTCTCTAACCATGTAATTTTTTTTTAAAATCTAAATAATATTTGCTGACTTTCATCAAAAAAAAAAAAAATTGAAGGAAAATAACTTAGTTTGACTCTTAAAATGAATGGAACACCGCGTAGCCTTTTTTTAGGGTGCAATTTGTATAAAGCCTAGGCTCTAAACAATCAAATTAAAACCTACCTTAAAATAGTGTCGAGAAATGTGGTTTTAATACTGGAAATCTTTGTGATAGCCTTAAAATATATTTTTATATTTATTTATAAAGTTTAAAGCCTAAAAAATAATGTAGATTAACAGATCTATGAAAACTTGAACATTTTGAAAATTGACTGCTCAAAAATGCGTTACAAATTACAGTATTTCCAAAACTTGAAATCTATTTTTTTCTCATGTCCATGCATCTTGATGTCGAGATGATCAATTTGACAATATTGGGGCATCAAAACAACCTCTTCTAGTAAAATTTTTGAGGTAGGCTCTAATTTGTGTGTTTAGAGCCTCAGCTCTATATAAACTTATCCCTTTTTTTTAATAGGTAATTCAGCCAAATGAAACAATCTTAGAATACTACATGCCTAACAATGAGTAATTCAAAGTTTTATGACCAAATTCTTGGAATCAACAAACAACTTAATAGAAATGTATTATATGACTATTTATTTTTAATACCAAGAGATCACGATTACTATAGACCATTAGATGTGAAATTGAGTCTGTAGGAATGCGTTAATGGGTATAAAGTCCAAACAACATTTCTCGATTGCTGTAACACACTTCAATGATTTTGATTTCACATCCAATTGTTAATAGTGATTGTGATCTCCTTGTCTTATAATAAACAATCCTAGAAATATACAATCCTCAAATTCTTTGCAATGAAGAGTAGGTATCCATATTGAAACAAGACACTGGGGTCCAGTAAAGAATGCCCATAAGCTACAATGGACCTAACTTTGCCATCCCTTTCTAATAAGAATGCCCAAAAGCTATGATAGCCCCAAATATTTAGATTATATCCAAATTAGTAAAGTGGGAGAGCATGAGACTATAAGCTACAACCAGGAAATTAAATTTGTAATTTCTGAAAAATGGTAAAATTTCAGTAACATTATATCCAAAATAGTAAAGTGGGAGAAAATGAGACTATAAGCTACAACCAGGAAATTAAATTTGTAGTTTCTGAAAATTGGTAATATTTCAGTAACTTTCATTCCAAAATAGCATCTAATTATACATGCTATATGTCCCCAAAAGTTGTCTCCCGCTTCCTACCTCTTCACTTTAACCTATCTCCAGTGCATATGCAATTGAAATAGAGATTCTAAGGTATCCAAATGTGCATGTTCACGCACATGCGCAAGCGCGCACACACATACAGAGAGAGAGAGAGGAGGAGAACAATTTCACATCCTAATGTGCGGGTGTATGCATCATCAAGCAATACTTTTGCCCTTACAAACTGATGTGATCCAACATCCCCACTTTTGTTTCCATTACCCCCTCATGCTTACACATTCCCATCATCTCAAAGCACCACATCCCCCCAGCAAACAAAATTTATGAAACCCAAGAAAACCCCAAAAGGGTTACACATTCCCACATAAACCATACCTCTTCAAAATTCCTACATTACCCTTACTAAGGCACAATCAGTTTACAAAAAGATTGTGTAACATGGGTCAATCACATTTCATCCCAAAAAAAATTATTAAAGAAAAAAACATGAATTAAGATCCTCCTCCATTCTTTGATGGAATTGGGAATTGGTCTTCAGGTTGGCGTTTCCAAAAATAATTGGTAGCTTCTAGCCATCCTGGATTGACCAAATGCTTCTTTCGCTGTATAGCCCAACGAGCCTTCTCAGTCCCTAAATCGAGCGAAACCACATGAGTTACTGCTTCATCGAGCTCTTTGGAGCATGATGCTCCAAGTTGTTCTGCTATCCTCCATAATGTTTGGTTCTCAACCGGGTAATTGGTTGGGAAAATTCGACTGAACACCAGCCTGCATCCCTTGAGAACCTCTGACTGAATGGTTTTCAACACCTGAAAGGAATCGGGGTTACATAATAGAAGAAGCTTATTTTTTAAGAAGAGATCATTTTATCTAAAATTTGTAGCCAAAATTTAGTACAACCATCGGAAAAAAAATCAGTGATTTTGGGAAAGTGTACCATTATCTGATGGATTTAAGAACAAAGTACATGGCAGTTATCAATGATCAATGAAATGACGGATATTTTCGTCAGATTAAGGAAGACCAAAGTACATGTCATGTTCTGGTGCACCCCACACTCCATCATTATCCATCTTTTCATTTAATGGGTCTCCACAGTCAATCAGATTAGGTATACATCCACCATATTTCAGACTCAAAATGGTAAAAAGTAACAATCTAATTTAACTACTAGCTTCACAGTTTTCTTTATTAGTTAACCATTTTTCCGTTGCTTAAAAAATTGGTATAAAAGTGTCTTCTCATGTCACATACAAAATTGAGTCCCTACATGACAGATTCTACAAACAAAATACCCTTGGTAAAACGTAACAATTTAATTTAACTACTAGCTTCACAGTTTTCTTTATTAGTTAACCATTTTTTCCTTGCTTAAAAAATTGGTATAAAAGTGTCTTCTCATGTCACATGCAAAATTGAGTCCCTACATGACAGATTCTACAAACAAAATACCCTTCCTAAATGGCTACGGTAATCATGATCAGTAGTCAAAAGATTGTCAGCTCGTCGTGGAGAGACCTTCACTACCCAAGGCATCAAGGTCTGAATTAGCTTCCCTCCATATGTTCTAATACTTTTTGCAAAGGCCTGAATCTCCTTGAACAAGCATGACGTAGGAATCCTTCCCACTGGCTCAATCAATGAAATTGCCGGAATGACCCTCAATGATTGCCTGTGGCCACTTGAATTCAAGGATGCAAATAAAATTTTGAGTTCTCAAAAAGAAACGTGGGAGAAGTATGGGGTGACCACCATGTGTAATCGATAATTTGATGAAGACTCTCAGGCATAGATTAATTTTTTTGCTAATTGTTGCGCACAGAAGCAAAGCTGGGTGCACAACTATAGATAGGCATTCGGAGTTTCATGTGATCGCCGTACACCAATGAAACCGAAAGCGAAGTTTTATAAGACAGCTGTAAGACCAGCTATGCTTTATGTGACATAATATTGGGCAGTCAATAAACAACACCATAGGATAAGTGTAGTTGAGATAAGGATATTAACATGGTTGAGTGGCAACACAAAAAAGGATAAGATTCGGAATGAATACATCCGAGGCAAATTAGGTGTGGCTTCAATAGGTGATAAAATGAGAAAAAAGTAGACTTAAGTGGGCTGGCCATGTGCAACATAGATCTAGCCGGTTAAGAGGGAAAATTTGGTTCAAGTGGAAGGCGCTAAAAAGGCAAAAGGAAGGCCCAAAAAAACATGGATGAAAGTAGTAAAAAAAGATATGGTGACTTAGGATCTGACTGAAGGTAGGGCTCTTGATAGAGTAAAGTGGCATAACAAAATTCATTTGGCCAATCCTAAATAGTTTGGATAAGGGTCGGATGATGATGGATTGTCCTTTAGGTACTTTTTTGTTTAAATCCATTGATAATTTAGATAAGTCACAAGGTGCAACTTACTTGTGTGGCTTGATGGATGATATTGTAGATTTTGTTAGGGAAAAGAATGTAGTACAGATTATTATTGACAATGATGCCAATTACTTTGCACTAGGGAAACTCTTGACTTTAAAGAGGAAGCATATGTTTTGGATTCCTTATGAAGCTCACTGTCTTGATTGTACTCAATGCTCAAGAAGGTAGAGGAGGCCGCCTATGCAGCCAGGGGCTCAAACCACCTAGGCAGTCGGAGGGCGCCCAAATACTTGGCATCCCTAGGAGCATTCTCTCTCTTTTATGGTTTCAATTTGTATAAAAAATTAATTTTAATGCCAAGCAATATGCAGTTTTGTAACAAAGTAATATTAATATCATGACTATGTGCATGTGTTATTGTGTAAATGTGCCACATGTGTGTTTTTTTAAGAAACGTACACTCTCTCTCTTCTAAAAATTAAAGAAGGGTATTTTACTAAATAAAAATAAAAGGATACTTTACTTTTTAAGAACTGTGCCAGGTACTTTACTTTTTTAATGAACAAAAATTAAAGAAAGGATACTTTTATTGAAAAATGATACTTCAAAAAAAAAATGATACTTTTTCTCTCTAAAATAAATGAATAGAAGTACAAACAATTAAAAATCTCTCATTCCCTAGACCTAATTCTCTCTCACTAAATAAACAAAAAAAAAATAAGGAGGTGGCACTAGGCGGGTGCCAAGACCCACCTGGACCCCTCCGCCTAGGCCACGCCTAGGCAGTTTGAGAAACAGGCTGCCTAGGCAGTTGGGCAGCCGAGTTTTTGTACATTGATTGTGCTTGAGGACATGGCAAAGACATCTACAATTAAGGGGGCAATCCCAAAAGCGAAGTTTGTCATTTGTTTGATCTATAGCCATACCCTAGTCCTAAGCATAATGAGATGGTCTACAAAAACAAGAGACCGTGAGAGCCTAGATTTGCCACGATATTTCTCACTCTTCAAAGCCTATGTAAAAAAAAAGATGGCTTATGGAGCATGTTCACTTCAACATGGTCAAGGGATCAAGATGAGAGAAAACCAAGAAAATTGTTCTTAACACGTCCCTTTGGACCCAATGCTACTAACAACCCTTCAGTGGAAGTTCTTCAGTTGGTGAATGGAGATGCAAAGCCCGCAATGGTCTACATAAATGAGGCCATGATTAGGGCAAATTTAAAGAATGATGAGACCAAATACAATCCCATAATTGAGATTGTAGATAGGAGATGAGATACCTCCATGCAACTGGGTACTTTTTGAATCCATCTCTTCATTATAAATAGCCTTTCATTGAATTGCATCATATAATAAATGGAGGATTCTAACTTCTAGATGGACTCGAGAGATTGGTCCCTAATTCTTCTATTCCAGATGAGGTCCAAAGCCATGTGCTGGTCAAGTTCAAGTGTCCATCCAAGAACTTTGGACATAATATCGCGATTTAGGAAAAAGACACCACACAGCTAGGTAACCAAAAAAAAATGCAAACTTTGAATTCTGAAGTTTGAATTTCACTAAAACATTGTTGACTTTAAAGTTACTTATTTACATTTTTATAATTGTAATATGCAGCTGAATTGGGGGCATAATATGGGAGCAAGACACTAAATCTCCGTCGTCCAGCTTTTTGAGTGTTGAGCCACATATGTAGCTCATCTGGTTGCGAGTGTTTAGAGCGCACTCAGAATGTCTCTTTATATGCTTAGTTTTCAATTTTCTAGAACCTGCGGGCACAAGCGAGTGGACAGTAGAACCACAATATGGGCGGGTGTTCGAGGGTGAGGACCTTACTTGGTTGGATTTTGAGCACGCTACGAGGGCTGGAGAAGAAGTAAGGCCTAGCATTAGATCATAAATTGAGAAGAATTGATCCACATCGGCATCGGTTCCAAAGATCGAGGAGGTTGACTCAAAGAATACAGAGCAGGAAAAGTGTATGCGGAGGAGAGCGATGATACTGATGATGACAACCCTCTAGCCTTGAGTTTGGATTGGTAGATGCATGTGATGATTAACACATGACTTATCTAATTCAGATTTGAGAGTTGAGAGTGGTCAAATTGACTCATTGACCTTGAGTGTACTTAATTTTATGTTTATATGTTAACGAACTTTGTTCTTTGGGTTTATGTTCAGGCTGGGATCTGAAGTTGTGGTCATTTTGAAGAATTTTTGGTCTTTATATGTTATGTTAAATTGTTAACTATTGTTATTGAATTGTTAATTGTTGTTATTATTAGGATGAAATGGATTGCTTTATTTTACAAGTAACACAACAAACTCTTTTACTCTTGCCCGACTATCAAACTATCAAGTGACTCAAGCATCTAATATATTAAAGAAAAATGCTATCAAGTGACTCAAGCATCAAATATATTAAAGAGAAGTACTAAACTGAAATTTCCACCATCCTACATTTGTGTCTTTCTATGCGTTATTATATTTTGTGTCTTTTTCTAAGTTTTTAAATTTATTGACCACACAGTATGTGATAAGCCTGCCAGGGCCACGTCAATCACCATCCCACATGGGACCCTTAACCGCATCAAGTCTGCATCCCACATCTGATAACATTGGACACCACCATCCACTTCGCTGCCATCAATCTGGACCTCTTGGCGAGTTTGTGGGAGCTTGGAGTTTGTTCTTCCCTCCTAGGTCAATGGCTTAGAGGCTTTTCGCCTCTCCTCCCAAATCTTAAGCTTGATCTCCAGGTTATATGCGACCAAATTAACTTCATGAGGTATTTACATATCCGCCTTCTTCCCAATCAGGAATTTAACCATCGCATACTCTCTCCTGCATTTGTTTTCCAGTAAATTCTACAGAACTTTCCACAAACTTTTGCAGCCTCACAGAACACCTTAACCATCCAAATGTGAAGGGGGATCTCCATTGAAAGGATCCACACTCCATTTGATGGAATGAAGGGCTTTGTTTGGGATCCCATCTAGAGAGGAACACCAGAGAGACTCTGAACCCATCATTTCCCTTCACGAATTCTAGTAGCTTCTGCCTCTAGGCTTGACATTTTTTTTTTTTGAAGCTGCTGACTGTGCACTTTAGTTCTCAGAGAATGGTGACGTATTGAAGCTTATTTCAAGGGCCACTTAATTTTCCATTTTGGCTTTCAGTCAAAAGTCCATCTCTTCCAAAGTTTGTGGCAATGGCAAAAAGTTAATTGAAGCTTATTTCAAGCTTCACTTAATTTTCCATTTGGCTTTCAGTCAAAAGTCCATCTCTACTAAAGTTTGTGGCAATGGCGACAAGTTACCACTACATACTAATTGGCCAAATTGGGCAGAGATGCCCTTTTTCCTTGTGCAAATTTGTCAGATGCAAATTTGTCAGAAATGGAGCATAGTGAGAATTGCATTCCTATGAAATGGGAAGTCTACAGTGCTAGCAAACTTTTTCTTTATATTTTGCTCCCTAAAAAAGTATTCTTTAAAACAATCTGCTTTATATGAAAATAAAAATTAACAACTTTAACCATCAAGGGGTAACAGGAGTGGGTACCTTTCTTACATCACTTCCGTTGAAATCAGTTTCAACCTCCTGAAAGTATTAAAAAGAACAGAAAGCAATAGATCAATATTAGGGAAAATGTTAAAACAGTGCTTGGAGAACATGACTACATGCGAGTGCTCCAGAAAGTTCAAATCTCACGGGACCACCTGGAAAAGATTAAGGCACATGCTTGAACAGGTGCCATTCTGGTGGTTCCAACTTTTTATTCATCGCCATCCATCATATCATTGAATAGTGATGACCCCAAAGAATTATTGACAACATCCCTTCGCCAAAAGAAGACAATATACTTTCCTCTAACTAGTAAAAGAACACAAGAAACTTCTATGGAGCAGCAAACCTGGTAATAGAACATCTGGTGTATATGCTTGAGAACGTTAAGAATACTGGCTAGCATGCCATCTGATTCGCTTTCATCTCTCTTCAATTCAGACAAGGACTTGTAATGAACGTTAAACTGTCGACAACTAGAAGAGAAAAAATGGTATCTCTCCATCAAAACCAGGTTTTCTTTATGCTTGTGCCACACCTACAATATGTCATTTGTCTCAGAGAACAAATCATGTGTCATTGCCAAGTTTCAGAACTGAAGTATTCATCTCGAATTCAAGTGAATATGTACTCCTTTTCACCCAATCTTTCAAAATACAAATTTTGAAATGATTACATAATAAATCCATTCCTAAGCAAATATTTGTAGACAAGGCATGTTTCATCAGCCATACAAAAGTAAGAAACCTTCATCATCATCATCTGAGCCTTATCCTAACTGTTTGGAGTCAAATAAAAGTAAGAAACCTAAACTTTTATTTTTATTTTTATTTTATTTTTGGTGGGGGGAAGAAGAAGAAAAAAGAGAAGAAAAAGAGATGGGGGAGGGAGGGTTAGCAGATTTCCAGTCAATTTCCACCAAAATATACGTGCGAAAATTGTAAATTTTTTCTTTCTTAGTTGATTAGAAGCATCAAAAGATATTATCATCATCATCATCATCACAGCCTTTTCCCAACTATTTGAGGTCGGCTACACGAATCCTGATTTGTCAATCTGCTCTATCAGGGGCCATACCCTTAGTGAGACCATAAATCCCGATATATTTTTCTCACTGCTTCCAACCATGTCCTTTTAGGCCTAACCCTTGCCTTTTTTTAGCCTTCTACTTGAACCAACTCACATCTCCAAACAAGTGTTGTACTAGGTCTGCGCTGCACATGCCCAGCCCAGCTAAATCTATTTTCTCTCATCTTATTGCCTATTGGAGCCACACCTAAGTTTTCCCGAATGTATTCATTTTGAATTCTACAATAACTTTTTTTTTAACAGTATGCACTAAATGTTTCTATGCAACGTGTATAGAGCTCAAAAGTATAATATACATAAACAAGATGTATCATGCATGTAACTTCACCGTTTTTTTAGTTCTTGAATATGTTCATGTACAAAACATTCCTACACAACTGATGCTATAAATATTAGGTAAAAGAGCAACATATATATGCCATAAAAATAAAACAGGGAAAAGGTCGGGTGACTTTCTCCATTCTCTGCATAGCAGAACTTAAAGTGTGCTTCTAATTGGCAAGAGCATATCTCGATCTGGACTAGTCAAGACAAATCAGACCAAACCTTCAAGCAATGCCTGTATTTGTGCCTTTTTACTTTGGATAATGGTTGCTTATCATTAAAGTGAAAAAAACCTACATATTTGGTCTCCTTGTATTATGATTAGAGGGCAATCACATCACCTGCCATCAATCCAATTGGATAAAGGAGCCTCTCCAGTCTAAAGTGCAAGGAAATGTACACTTGCTGGAAGATTCTTATAGTGTATCGTAGAAAATGAATGATACAGGATGATCACTGAAAGTGCATTACAAAGTCAATTGAAGTCTATAACAAGTGTCTGTCATACATAGAATAATTGTCACATTCAGGACAAACAACTATGCCATAACATTATATTTTAGATCAACGTAAGACAATTGAAACTAATATACAAGTATATAAATAGTTATTCATTTGATGCTTAGGGAAGTTGCAAGTACATTTTCTTGCAAAGCTGTAATGGGCAACACAACAAAATAAATAGGCCATGTCAAGCCATTCAAAACAAAATATAAATTCAAATATCCTTTTGTGGATAGGCTTCTGCATGGGTTTTCTAAATTGATAGGTTCTAGATAAAAAAGGTTTTCCTTGTAGATATAGCTTTGACCATAGTTGCCAGAATCTCCCAACCTACATGGCGATCCCGCTCCCTAATCTAGCTCCGGTGCTCGGGAAAAGTGATCTCAAGGGATATCGATTTTTGAATTTTGGGACTCGATTCTGACTAGTACATGTCTCGATTCCCACTATAGAGACCAAAATAACAACCAAACTGATGATCTTTTTTATCTGTAGTCAGCTAGTAATGCAACTATTTGCATTGCTTGAAGGCTATAAATAAAGATATCCCTAGTTTAAAGAGTACATATAATCCCAAACTACATATACTCTTTTTAAGGTTAGAAGCAGGATCTCCCAATGGTTAGGATCGAGGTAGGGATCCAGACCCCTAACATTTGGGATCCGTCACATATGCATTGTACCGATGACAATCCAACCATAGCGATCTTCTAGCCTTTCATGATCCCCCACTGCCTCTCCCAGTCCTAACAACTATGGCTCTGACACGATCTAAAATCCCCTCAAGGCCCATGATTCCCACATTATTTTGGTGCTTTAACCAGTGCCGTCTGTAACATAACATAGAGGCATCCATTTATAATACAACATCATACATAAATGAAATTAGCAAGCTCTTATGAGCACTACATAAGGGAGAAGAATGCTCCAAATGAATTCAACTAGGGATTAATATGCTTAGCTGGAGAACAGTTATACTTTTTTTTTTTTTTGACCAGGGTTACATGTGTAAAAGAACATTTATACATGTTTGAAGCTTTTAAATGTCCACAAAGAGAATAATGTTCTCTAAATGATGAAAACAACACTCTAAATGGATTTGTTGACTAAGAAACTTTGTACAAATTCCCCAATGTAGATGGAACAGGAAGAGTTCATATGCTTCGATGGGAAAGTATAGCAATGCCAAACAAGTAATAAACGGAAGATATCAAGCATTTCATTGAAAAATGAGAACAAATCATAAATTGCACAACCTTTAGAGATTATTACACTTAAACAAACTTATATTGTACAAGCTTTAGTGACAATTGCACTTACATGTTCTGTGTCGTCAAGAATCACTACAGCACATTCTGATCCCAATACAACATCAAGGCCCTTTTGATGCCTCACAGTACTGTCACCCTGTGAAATAACTCTAGAACCAAAGTACACTCCACTAGGATCAAGAAGTTTGGCCATTTCCAAGGCATATGCACGCTCTCCCATGGTATAGACATACATCTCAAACATAGTATTTGCTTCCTTCAAAAACGTACGGACAAACGGCCGCAGCTTTGTGAGCATGTGCAAGGGCTCCAATTTGAATAGAGTGCCACTAGTATCACCTAAAATTGGAAAGACAGCAGGTAGAAAGCCATGCAAAGATCAGTATTTCTCATTGCAACATATTAGGTACGGAAGTGACTTATCCACAAATAAAGGAATGAAGCATGGTAAAAATGTTTTCTACTATTGATAGGAAATAAAGTTGAAAAGGAGTTGAGCATTAGTATGTATAATCTTCAGCCTGCAAAAAAACATGTTCCCAGTTACAAAGCTTGTGTTTCCGATTCATTAAGTAATAGGTTGTGTTACACTGAACTAGGCAGCTAACATTGTCATACAACATTTAATGAACAGAAATGACAAAATGCTATTCTTTTTTTTCTGATAGTTAACAAATGTTTCATTAATGTATAAAGGCATTTCATTATTTGAAAACTACATAAACTATGACAAGTTCACAAGAGGCAATGGGCACATTGGAGGATGATACTTTGCAAGCCTAAGCATATTGGTCACCTAAGTAACTGTTTGGAGCTTTGAAGCAACATTCTTGTTTATGCCTAACAGATTTGCATGCTGATGCGGCCCACTTGTTCATGTGCTAAACATTTCTGTGGAACTAGAATATTTGCATGTGGAACCACTAAATTAATTGAATAGTGTTAGGTGTAGCACACTCTCATGTTCAACCGATTCGATTCGGCCTACTTGTTCATGTGCTAAGCAATTCTGTGGAACTAGAATATTTGCAGGTGGAACCACAAAATTACTTGAACGGCATTAGGTGTAGTACACTCTCATGTTTAACCGATTCAAAACAGTACATTAAATTCACTCATGCTTTAACTTGTAGTGAGCCAAACGAATTAAATAGAGCAGGAGTCTCTTTTTTAACACTTTAAAACCAAAATATGAAACAGGCCAATCATCATCATCATCGTCAAAGCCTTTTCCGGCCAATATATTTTAAACATGAATCAAAGTTCATATGGCAATAGTAAGCCAATAAACTCAAGCATAAACCTTAGGCATCCAAAATAGTTCACAAGAAATATATTCCAACCATAATCATTCTTTCCAGATATTAACACCCACAACCAACAATTTAGAAACAGAAAACAGGGAACAAAAATTATGTCATACCATTAGATGAGCTTGTTTCTTTATTCAAATATGTTGCATTGAGATAGGCTTCTTCCTCAGGTGAGACATCCACAAGCCGAGTTGAATTGAGTAAAGTATGATCCAAATCCAAAACTAGGTAAAGTTTCCGTCTACGATAAAGGTTTTTTAAATCAGTTGCCCGTAAGCGTGCAACTTCCTCAGCACCAAGTTTTAGATCCTGCAATCGAGGACAAGTTTCCATATGAATTGAAAGAATATATTACAAACAAATAGTTCAAAACATAACTTTACATATTTCCATGTCAAAAAAAACTTTACTTATTTATTTGGTATGGTTTTGATATCCAATATGTATGAAGGGCTTGAAGGGTCCAAAACTTGTTCCTCATACCCTACTCTTCGTCTCACGCTACATTGGCCTTGCTGCCTCGCTGAAACCATCACTCTGCTCTAAGGACTTGAGAGATTTGACCCTTCTTATGGCTCCCTCCTCGAAAAGGTAGGGAATTCCCAAAATGCAATTTTGTGGGCTTCTATGATAACCCAGTGCCCATGGAGGTCAGGGCACAACCACATTTTTAACGAGGCCAATGCAGCTATTGACACCCTGGCCGAGAACACTGCTAGTGGCAACACAAGGAGATAGCCTCTTTTGAGTGCTAAACTCATGGGGATCCCTCCCCTCGTTTTTTTCCGGACATGAGGACTCCACCTTGTTTGGTTTGTTAGTTTTCTTGTAGTACTTGACCACCTGACCTGTGGGTTGCCTAGTTTACTTAGTATTACCCTAATGGTGGGGTGCCCTTTTTGTGACTGTATAATGATACTAAATTAATGGACAGTCAACCTTTTAAAAGAAAAATATATTTCCATAAGAAATGGAATTATCTAATAAAATTTAATAAATTAATAGGACATATACCCTCATTGAACTCAATGGCAATGTCAGGCAGAATTCCTCTACAAAGACAACATACAACTAGGAAAATAGAAGTCCCAAATCTGCCCTTGTCTAACAAAGAATACCTTATGTATGTAATTGAATGCAACCGCAGTTTCCTTTCTAGCCACAGTTTCATCATCCTTTTGTTCACCACACCGAATACACATGTCTTTATAAAATCCTGGATGAGGAGGGCAAACTTTCTCACTAGTAGATTCCTTGAAATTATCTGTGAAAAGTATGGCATTGAGTATGGCTATTTGTCAAACTATCAAAAAGAAAAAAGACAGAAGCATGTCAAGTTGGACGCCATCTCCAACATCTACCAATAGTATAAATAGATAAGTTACTAGGCAATAAATAGTTTACATAGTCCATCTGTCAGCAGAAACCCTAAGCAATGAATTGCCTCTTGGGTTAGATTGGAGCACCTAATTCACCCTGGTTGGCATTTGATGACTGCGATTCCTTTATTTCTTCATCTTCACATATTTTTGGCCTTTTTATTCTGCAGTTTTATATACAAAGTCAATATCCCCAAAGAGATAATAGTGGTGATAAGATAATTATGGATTCTATGAATCTGTCATGATGCCCATCATCATAGTCCATGTTGAAGGAATGCATCTAAGCACTCAATCAACTTAGAATACCCCATATTTGCAATAGAGATTCAAAGTTAGTAGACATAAAAAGAATAAGTGAATGACATAGAAACCCTACACAATGGATAAGTTTGAAAAATATCAACCCATTACCAGCAAGTAGTCCAAGAAAACAATTGACCCATTCACCAATAGATCCATTTCTACAGGCACATAATTTGAACAAATGCCTTTAAATTTCTATCCTTGTTTTCGCAAAGTATGCATCATACAGGAAGACATGATGAGGCAATTCCAGTACAGCCAGCAGGTTTCTATTACATTAGAAAGAATATAGCCAAATTGAACCTTAATAGGATAGATCTATCACTTATGTAAGGGTACAATTTAAAACTGGACAGAAATGTCTTTCTAACAAGAGGGATGGCATATAAAGATTACTACGACATAATATACCATATCTACAAACCCTTGAAATACCCCTCAGTTTAATGCACAGATGTCAATTATGTACAGTTCACCCAAAATGACTTGCATTGCAACCATTCCTTTCAAGTGCCTCTGTGAGCAGTTCAGCAAATTAATCTTCACATTTATTTTTACGAAGAGTCTTCATATTTTACATTGCTTTTGACTATATTTATAAGGCACTTTCTTCATAGTGTAAAGGAATTTCACCTCAATGGTCATTCTCGATAGAGAACTGGATTTGAAACGATATACATGGCCATTTGGTTATTGCAATCTATTATCATAAGAAGAGTAATTTGTTTTTATATTCCCAGATCCAACTCTTGTTTGTTGCAATGGAAACAAAAAAACAAATTTTCTTGCAACGTTTTTGCCAACTTCAATAGTGCACCACCCATTCTGCACTCATTTCTGTAAACTAATGTGCTTATGGCCTAACTCCTTATGACTTGCTTCAATATTCTACCATCCAGGTTTTGTCCTACCTACATATTAATGCCTATATTATTTTCTGAAGAACATAGTTCTAGAGAACTCTTAGCCTTGGGCCACGAAGTATATGCTTGAATTCCTATTTCACATAAATTGCTGTCAAGAAAATTGGTTGTCACCTACTCATTCTTGGGAGAGTTACTATAAGGGCTTTCTTTGTCAACCAGTAGGTAACTATAGCAATATCATTAGTATCAGTTCAACTCATTGAATAAATGTATGATCTGAGTATGAACGTAAAAACCAGTAAGTTCAAGAGTCAAACAATGGAATAATCAGCTTACCAGGAAAAGATGGACTATTCAAGTAACAAAACTGCAGCTACAAATAGAACACTGCAGTAGTACGTTTTATCTCAGGGGTATAACATTCAGCATCACAATCTTACTCAAAATTCATACTGCATAATCAAGTGCATAAATGATGCAAATTGCATCGAGGCTTGCAAGAATTAAACTGATTGACACACTTTTTTTTTTTTTTTAAACTTTGATTTTAGGGATATGGGTAGGTTTTTTATCTTTTATTGAATGAAGGGGTTAAAAAGAGTTTTATTAATTGTCTTGGGTAGTTAGGAAGTTTTATGTTATTTTTGGGTGAACGTGATCCTTTCCTTAATAATTGGGATAAGCTTAGATTTATGTAGAGTGCTTTATTTGTGGGAAAGTTAGTCAGTTTAGGAAAGGTAATATGAGGGGAAGTCAAGTGATGCCACATTCCTCTATTGTTGGATGGGCAACCAGTGAATAGTAGAGAGAGAGAGAGAGAGATGTGGTGTTGGGAGAGGGATCCTAGAAAAGTGGATCTAAGGAGAGAGAAAATAGGAGAGTTAGAGATTGAGTACATAGGTGGTACGAAATTTAGAAAGGAAGGGAAATATTTCTTAAAAGTTTTGTAGTGGGATAGAACGATGTACATCTTTTCAACTCGTTTAGTCTAGATCTACGGAAACGCGCCTTGACTGACGGGCTTGTTCTTTTAATTTATTTTACTTTTCATTGCTTGTACAAAAAGGAAGGGGGACGCCCCATTGAGGGAGACTTGGATATTTTGTAGAGATTTTTTATGAATGAAGAAATAGAGTTTTTTCTTCCGATGGCTTGATTTACAGCTATATTAACTTCTTTAAGATCGTAAGAAGGCTGGATTTAATTTCCCGGGCTCCTTTCGCATCATTTGGTATCAGAGCATGGTTTGAAAAGGGTTAGTGACTTCAACGGATGGTCGTGGAGGTCGCAACCATATGAATGCCTAGCATGACCAAATACACAAGAATATCGACAACTTGACAGAGATGGTTGAAAAGTTGTTGCAAAAAGAAAGATTGCAACAACGCACATCAAACAAGATGAGATCTACGATGTTAGATCCATATTGAGCGAGTTCTAGTGGAGATCGACGTAGATCAAAGCACGAGTCTGAGTGGGAACGGCCTGGTGTAATGCTTGATCACACTTATGGGTTCGATGCATGACGGCATCGACGGGAGCATGAATGCAGAGAAAAGTTGGGTAACCGACAACGCCAAAGCCAATGTCAATGTCATTGGCAAAAAAAGAATTTTCCTACATCTAGATCGACCCCCAAATCCGGATCATCCCAAGTTAGGAAACCAACGCTCCAACTCGGGGAGTTGTTGTCCCTACGACAAAACCTGAGCATCACACAAATAAACAAAGAAAGGTATGTGATTTCATGGTAAATGAAAATCCTATGTTTTCCACTAGAGAGGTTGATGCTTTGAAAGACACAAAGTGTCCTAAATCTAATGAGAAAAGAGTAGATGTAATTGTAGATCAATTTGATGAAAAAAAAGAGATAATTAGGGATATGCCCAGTACTTTTATTGATGAAAATATGGAGGATTCTAAGTCTGATAATGAAGAAATTTTGCATTGTACTGATCAGAAGGAAATGTTAACTTTTAACATTATTTCTGTTAAAGACAATGTTCAATTTTCAAATGATTCCTTCCGTGTGAATATGAAAGAGCAACCTGACTACAATAAAATGGGATTTGGGATTGGATGAGAAAACCAAGATAGTGGTTTTTTATCAGACATGAACTATCTTCGTTGCCAATAAGTGATGAGACTCCACTTTAAAGAGGAGGGTGTGGCTCGATTCTCTATTCAGCAACTTATTACGGAAAAGGTTGATGATATCCAGATTGTAGTGGATGATGTGGGTAATGTTGGTGCCGGTGGTAAAATTTATGTGTGCGCATTGGAGTTGTCTAGTAGAGGTGATGAGAATGTTGGTACGAACATGGTGAATTGTGATTAGTTGTCTGTTCTGAAAAAGCCTAACCATGATGTGTGGAATGGTTATGATAAATTTGGATGGTTTGGTCGTTTATTGGAACCATTTCATAATTGGTGTGAAATCTTTGAAGTATGGTTTCAACAACATCATTTTGTGTGGCATCTGCTGATTACTGTTGTTGATTTGGGATTTTCAAGAGATGTGGGGATGACAATTTGCAGTGGGAGTATGTTGATGTTTAGTCAATGCACTAGAATTAGATTTGATGTTAATTACCAAGAAAAAAAACCTCCTAGTCAAGTACGAAAACCATCTGATGGCATTTGGCTCATGAAAGAAGTTATCAAATTGTTTGAGAGTTTTATTAAAAGAGTGAATGATGTTATTATGCGTGCACAAGAAGATATGAGTCATCTCTTTGTCAGCTTTGTTGGAACTGAACAAATCTTATATGGCCCCTACAAGTGAAGGGACTGGTTTTGCAATCAAAGTCTTCATGTCCATGGGAAATAACATGAAAAGTGCTTATGTAGAGATTGAGAAAATTATTGCAAGAGACAATGATCTTGCTACTGTGGAGATAACATCTCCATGTGCCACGCATGTTTTGAAATTTTCTCTTGATGTGTTAAAATTTTCCCTTGGGGAGGATTGTCAGCTTAGGCACAATCGTATGAATTTTAAGCATCTACATTTTGGTTGCGATGTGAATGGGAAGGGTTTATTGGATGTGTGCTTAAAGCCTTTGGTGCTAAACTGCAAAATATTTGTGCACATGCCAGTTGTATGGTTGGAGAATGCATGGAAGTTATTGATGCTAACTTTCAAGGGGGGACTATAGAAACTCACACAGTTTCTCCCTGTTATTATTCTCCACAAAACATGGGTTTAATAATTGTGAAAACCAAAGATGGTCATGTGATTTTTATGGTATCGTTGCAGGGAAAATCTATTCTAGAAATTCCACAAGGGAATTCACCCCTTAACAAGCTTGCTAAGACAATTGATGTGATAGTTGGCTACACAGGCTTTAGCAAAACCATGTCAACTACCTTAGAAGTTGCATGCCTTGATAGTAATGTTTGCCTCATGGGAATGGGATACAATGAAATGACGAGGCTCATGTCAAATCTACAATAGGAGTTGCAACCTTCTAAGCAAATTGATAAAAATACAACTCAAGGCATGGTTATCACAAGAGTTACAAACAAAGAAGAAGCCTCAGATGAAGAAAGCTGGTTGGAATAAAGATGTTTCTTTCATAGGGAATCAATTGGCAGATAGAATTAGTCAAAGAGCATATTCCGTGCGCCCATATTTGAATGTGTTTGGGTGTTTGTCCAGGAATTGGCTAGGTGGATGGAGAACTTCTTCATTCTTTAGAGTGTTCAATCTCATGCCTGAACATTTGCGTGGAGATGTTGGACTTCACCATCAGCTAAGGGAAGTCGATGATGTCGCAGCAAAACTCGAGACGAGTTTTTCTTCCAACCCAAGAAGTATGATGCAAATAGCATCGAGGCTTGCAAGAATTAAACTGATTGACACATTTTTTATTTTAAACTTTGATTTTTAAGGATATGGGTAAGTTTTTTCTATCTTTTATTGAGTGAAGGGATTCAAAGGAGTTTTATTAATTGTCTTGGGTAGTTAAGAAGTTTTATGTTATTTTTGGGTAAACGTGATCCTTTCCTTAATAGTTGGGATAAGCTTAGATTTAGAGTGCTTTATTTGTGGGGAAGTTAGTCGGTTTAGGAAACGTAGTATGAGGGGAAGCCACGTGATGCCACATTCCTCTATTGTATGGATGGGCAACTAAATGAATCGTAGAGAGAGAGAGAGACGTGGTGTTGGGAGAGGGATTCTAAAAAAGTGGATTGAGGAGAGAGAAAATAGGAGAGTTAGAGATTGAGTACATAAGTAGTACGAAATGTAGAAAGGAGGGAAAATATTTCTTAAAAGTTTTGTAGTGGGATAGAAAGATGTATATCTTTTCAATTTTATTTTGTTTTATTTTTCATTGCTTGTATAAAAAGGAAAGGGGACGCCCTATTGAGGGAGACTTCGATATTTTATAGAGATTTTTTATGAATGAAGAAATAGAGTTTCTTCTTCCCATGGTTTGATTTACAGCCATATTATTCCTCCATTATTGTTAAATTTTTGCTTCTTTAAGATCGAAAGAAGGCCGGATTTAATTTTCCGAACTCCTTTTGCATCAATAAACATCAAAGCAACCCCTTTTGTCTTTCAAGGAAAAGGAATAAAAGCACAAAGTATAGTAGGTTTTAACAGAGCACTACAATATTCATCACCTCGATTTTTTTCGAAATCGCAATGCATTTGCAAATGAACAAACACCAAAACAACCAATGCCCTCATTCATGGATATGGAACAAAACCACATAAATAAACAAGATGAAGTCCCCCATAAATGGGACTCAAAAATAAGGAAATTTTTACCTACCCAAAAAAGTCCAGGAGAATATGAAAGAAACTCACAAAAATACCTCTCTAGTTCAATTTCCTCATAGTCCGTACTATCCCAAACCGCTGATCTCTCAGAGACAGATTCTGAAGTAATCTCATCCAAAATATCTTCATCTCTCTCAGGTGATTCACCAGAAGAATTTGATAGCAAATCAGTCTCAAGCAATGAGGCAAAATCATCACTACTTGATGAGTGAACAGGAGACTCAGCTGCCAAACTCATGGCCGAAAAAACCCCAACACTATCGCATACTGCACCATAAATGCAGCAAATATTCAATTTCACCCAACTAATTACTCGCTAATATTGTTCTCCGATATTATGTAACTAATGAGTAATTATTCTCCAAATCATATAATACTTACACTTTACATGTGATAAACAATCAATATTTGATTGATTATACTTTCAAATTGCCAATCTAAAGTGACTTAAGATAAAGGAATTTTAGCTGATAAGCAATCATCTTTTACGTCGAAAAATTATCAATCAATTACTAAGGTACAATATAGTCCTCTGATAAACTACTGAAAACAACAAAATGAGGAAATTTTAACTGTTAATGTCACTGCAAGAAAATTAATTTTCAATTTATGTCTTAAGTTTTTCCAAGATTGCAGCTATATGCTTAGCATACTACCTCTCAAAAAGAAATAATCAATCTTAAGCGCATTTCCTTCTCCATTTTATTATAGGCAGCAAATATCTTCATTTTCAAACTCAATGGAAAGAGCTCATAACACGGGTTTTAATGTACTGTCAAATCAGGGCATCTATATGTAAAGCCATGGAGTTCAAAACTTCAAATCAAAAAATTTACAAAAACCGAAAAAAACTGAGAAACAGACCAAAAAACTATTAACCAGCAAAATTAGCGTCTAGCATTCAATTGGAGAACCAAAGAAAAATAATAATAACAGAAAAAAAGGGGAGAAAGAACAAATACCTAACCCTAGTTGCATTAAAAAAGAAAAAGAGATATAGAAAAAGATTTACCGCGATCAAGCGATATTCAGGAACAAAAACTTCAATTTTTAGGGCACGCAAATTCACTTTTCAATCCTGAAACTTTAGATTAAAACAATTGTAAGGTGAAACAAAGCATGCTTGTCTACTATTGAAACAGCATAGCATGCCCGCACGAAACCTCACCGTCCAGTAAGATGTAAGGATTGCAGGACAGCGATTTGTAGAGAGAGAAAGCTAGAGAGCAATTGCAGAGAGAGGGAAACCTAGAGAGAGAAACTGTGAGAGAAATGGGAGAGAGGAACAGGACTTACTGCTTCTATCAGTAGGCTCGTTGCTGTCCGTCAGGAGAGCGGGAAAGGATCACACGGTTTGCATGCGTTGAGCATGGTATAAGTGCCCGTGTACTTTTTTATATATGGATTTGTTCATTATTGGATGTAAAATAGGGGTGAAAGATGTGCCGCTCGATAGGCACAAAGTTTAAAATAAAAAAGAAAAAAAGTTTATATAAAGATTCAACCTTATAAAAAGGAAAAAAAGTTTATATAATGATTCAACCTTATCATGTAGAGCTACGAGTACACCTTAAAAATCCATCATAAAAGGTAGTTTTAATGTTGCAAAACCATTTGATTGATCATCTCGACATCGAGATGTATGACCATGAAAAATTAAAAGATTTTAAGTCTCAAAAATAGTGCATTTTACAACATATTATTTACACCGTCCATTTTCAAGATTTTCATATGTTTATAGATCTACTTGATTTTAACCATTTTTGAAATTTAAAATTTTATATTTAAATATAAAAATAAATTTTGAGATAATCTCAAAAACATTTTACATCATAATTATATACCATGATAAATTTTGAATGTGCACCTTACCTCCTCTACACCTACGGATACATCCGTATGCCAACTGCACCCAAATAAAAATGTTTGAATATTGAGACTTGGATTTCACCTCGAATGAGTAAAAATAATTGGGATATCAATGTGAAAAAGTAAATGGTTTCATCTAGAAAATTGGGTTAGATTTGCAATTCAACGGTCCGGATCGGAGAATTAGCCAGATCGGCAAAATCCTACTTTAAAAAATTTCAAAAAAACAATAATAATAAGCCTTAAGAATATTTTTTTTAGTTTCTAAAAAATGGTAATATTGCATATTAGTTTTCATTATTTTATAAAAAATGTGTTAATACTGAGAACTTTTATCATATGTTAGTATTTGTTGCCCATTACATTTATTTTACAATCAATAATTTATCTTACATATCTTAGTTATCCAAATAAATAGAGAAATATGTGCCAATAAAAGCCCAATTCCACACTCAGATTATTTCTCATGCTATCTGAATCAATCCAAAATATATAAAGAATACATTCTTGCGATATTTTGAACTTAATAGTGATTGTTCTAGCTAATAAACCCGACCCCAAAAAAACTACAAGTTAATAAAAAAATCAAATAAGTAAAAAGAATTCAGCCTGAAGATATGCCCAACAAAAATAAAATAAAAATAAAAAGAGTCTAGCATTAAAGTATTCCCAACAAGTAAAAAAATAAGTGCACAAAGCCAAATATTTATTGAACCATCAGACACAAGCAAGGTAGATGGAGAGAAAAGTTAAGTTATTCTTGATGACAGGGAAAACTCAAAAAACTTGACTTTTTTCTTGTGGGGAAAAACGCACTACCTGACCATGTGCTTTGCTTTTGGCTCAGGTCACACTCACATAAGTATTTTGTGTAGAGAGAGTTTTTAGGAGAAAACATGCATTGAACAAATAAGTTTTGAGTTGCACAGCCTATTTTCAAGGCCATTTCTTTCATGTGGGTTTTAAATAGGCTAAAAACAAAATGTAATAGATAATTACGAAAGTAAAAAGAATATTAAATAATTATGAAAGATATTCGGAATGTTGTGTGGTTAAAAAAGCAAAATACCCATAGAATGAATGTAATGGATATGAGGATGTTGAGATGGATGAGTGACAAGACAATAAGGGATAGAATTCAAAATGAATACACTCCAAGAAAATTCAGGTGTAGCACCGATAGGTGATAAGATGAGAGAGGGTAGACTTAAGTTGGGCTAGCCAAATGTGGTGCAGACCCAGTACAACACTTATTAAACGGATAAAAGGCACGGACAAAAGGACGTGGTTCGAAGAATATGGAGATTTATAGCATCACTGAAGCTATGACCCTTAATAGAGCTTCTTTCCAATCAACTTGATCTCTTGAAGGTCAAATGTTACATGAATTAGGGCCATATGCATTAACTCTATACCAGGTGACCCTCTCAAAGGGACCTTGCTATCTTGTAAGTAACCAAGTTTTCAGGTATATTCAAGATTTGTTTATACAAAGACCCAAACAGCCTACAATAACTAGGTTTTGAGGCATATCCAGAATTTACGTATCCAGGGACCCAAACAGCACCAACTCGTATGTCATCTTCCACATCCTTGAGATGTGAAGAGTCCCAGCTTGTGATTGGGTCATTAAGATTGAGAGACTTTTTTCCACCATATTCTACCTTCATGGACAGGAACAAAAGGCAATAAATTTACACAAACCCAAGCACAAGAGGGGCAAGTTTGAATGAGATCCTTTTCATATTCAGTCCCCTTCCAAAAAAAACTATGTTTTTTATGGATAGGAAACATATCCTAGGTCACCGTACGTGCACTTTCGCTTTCAGATCCATGATTTTAAAGCTCAAAATATTATGAAGATTTGATGATTTAATGAATTAAAATGAACGGTGATGAATGATCCAGAAACAAAGTTTAATAGTCTATTTCAAGGCTTGGAAAAACATAATGGTGACTCATATCACGTATTTCCAAACCGATCCAGATCGGCATATCGGCTGTCCGGATCAGAGATCCAATTTGATATCTAATGATTCGAAAATGGTTGTGACTTCCATGTGTAAAAAAAAAAAATGGAAAAGTTTATATAAGGGTGAGACCCTAAACAATCAAATTAAGGTGGAGAACAAAAATTTACTAAAAGACGTTGTTTTGATGCCCAAAAATCCTCAATTGATCATCTCGACCTCAAGATGTATAGACTTGAGAAAATATATATTTCAAGTCTTGGACATAGTGCATCCTAGAATTCATTTCGGACCATCAATTTTCTAGTGTTCATAGATCTGCTTGATCTATACTATTTTTGAAGATTTATATTTTATAATTAGAGATGAAGATAAATTTTCAAAACATCAAAAAGATTTCTAGTATTGAAACAACATCTTTCAACACTAATTGAAGGTGCGCGTTATTTTGATGTTTAGGGCCTCGGCCTTACATAAGCCATACCCAAAGGTAAACGGTCTCGTAGACGATCCCTACTTATTTCTTCAAATGGTTTTTTTGTAGACAATCCCTACTTATTTCTTTGGGAAAGAGTGGCCCGTAATGAATTCCATAAAACATGAAATCACATGAGAGAGAGAGGTCTTCTATTTTTTAACCATTCAAAAAATTTTATTTTCAGAAGAGAAGGAAAGAGAGAAAGAAGTCTCTGATTATGAAGCTTACCCAACCCAAAAGGGGAGCTTTTTTTAACCAACAAAAAGAAGAGTTTGAAAGGCGTAATTGATGGGGTGGTTCTCTTTTCTTCATTCCAGGATGATGGCAACGGGCTGGCCCAGGTCACCCCTGGCTTAGCCTCCACAGGGCCAGGCCAGGCCCACATGGCTCAACAGGCCCACAGAATACAGAGGTCTTCGCCCAAGCCTGGCCCTAGCCTCCAGGCCAATAGGATCGACAAAAAATAAAGGAAAAAAAATGGAGGAGAAAGGGGCCAGGGCCAGCCCTGGGCCCAGAAGCAGTTAAAGCAATAATTTTTACTAATATAGTTATTGCCTTTAAAATCCTTTAGGTACTTCTTCAGGATATGTTTGGAAAATGCTCAAATTGTGTTTTTCATGGGTTTCTAAACATGAACAATTCAGCATTTTGGAAACTTGATTCTAAAATCACTTTATCCAAATGGTCTAAATAGTTTCACTTGTTTTTGGGTACCAAATCCAAATATATTCTTCCACTAAACATCTTTGTCTTACTTTAAAACTAGGAATAAACAGAACCATTATGGCAATTTGACCCTTCACGAAACCATTTTTTACTGGTCGATTTTGGGTTGTCAATATACCCCAAAAATTAGATTTGTCCATTGCCCTATTAGGCCCGGTTTCTTCTTCTTCTTTTTTTATCTTTTTTTCTTATTATATTAAATGCAGCCCAGTCCAAAAAGGTCATGGCAGGGCTTAGGCCAACGGCTCGGTCAAGGCCAGCCCTATAGGGACAGGGGCCAAGGCTAGCCTGACCCATTGCCACCCTAGTAAAAAAGAACACCGTTCAACAATTTTTTTTTTATTTATAGAAAACGAGTCTTGGTTTAGAACCCAGAATAAACAAGCCATCTAAATCATTTGGCTTGGTAAATTAGTTGATTTAATAGCCACATTGTTTTTCTGAGATGGTTGGACCATTTTACATCAAAGCTGCTGTAATTTCGGCTGCCGTCTTCAAGATTCCGGCTAAAACTCAAGACGACTAAATCTTCACGAAATCAACCTACCTTCGTTGCAACATGATCGTGACATCATGCTTATGTGACTCAATGAATAAATCACGAAGAAACATCAAGGAACGAGCACACAATCGATCCAGAGTTTTCAAGATTCATCAAAGATTCGAGCCTCATGATTGTGTCTAAAAAACATGATTCATGGCTCGAAGTTGGTATCAAAATGATCGTCATATCAAGTCTTACAAGAAAACAATAATCTTTCGATCAAACGGGTATCAGAACGACCTCAGGTCAATCACGAAAGATCACGCAAGTTCTCGGGCAGCAACAGGGACTGTTCTAGAAGTCCACATATTGTTAGATAGGGGAAAAACGATCCTTTTGCACCCATTTTTAGAATTTATTTAAATTTAATTAAATTGTAATTATCTTCAATTCTAGCTAATTTTTTAGCATACACCTATGTTTTAGCCCAATTTTATATATAAACATGCAAAGCTAAATTGTAAAGGCCTTGGGTTCATTTTTAGATTGATTGAATAAAATTTCCATTCCTGCTTGAGTTTGTGAGTATGTCTTGGAGAGAGAGGAGAGAGAAGAAAAGGGCTGGTACCCTTCAAGCAGGTAACTTTCTCTCTCCTCCTACCCTCTTTCTCTTTCCTCCTACCCTCTTTCTCTCTCCTTTCCTCTTTCTCTCTCCTCATCTCTTTTTCTCTCTCCTCTTTTTCTCTCTCATCCTCTCTTTCTCTCTCCTCTCTTCTCATCTCTATCTCTTTCTCTCTCATCTTCCCTTCTCATCTCTATCTCTTCTATATCTCTTTTCATCTCTCCTCTCTACTCATCTCTATCTCCAGCTGTCCTCTTCCAATGCAAACGGCGAGGGCCAGTACCAGTTGGTTTTCTCCTTCTGTCACAACTGACGAAGCTTAGCATCAATTGGTATTCTCTCTCCTCTCTTATCAGTTGATGAAGCCTAATGCCGACTTGTTTTCTCTCTCTTCTTCTGTTAGGCAATGAGACTTGGTACCGACTGGTTTTCTCTCTCTTTTCCTATCAGTCATCGAGACCTAGCATCGACTGGTTTTCTCTCTTCTTCTCCTGTCAGTCGATGAGACCTAACACCGATTGGTCTACTCTCTCCTTCTGCCTATCAGTCGACGAGACCTAGTGCCAACCAGTTTTCTCTCTCCTCTTGTCAGTCGACGAAGCCTAGTACCGACTGGTTCCTCTCTTCTTCTCTCTCCTCTCCTATCAATCGGTGAGACCTAACGCTGACTGGTTTTCTCTCTTCTTCTCCTGTCAATCGACAAAGCCTAACGTCGACTGAGATTCTCTTTTCTTCTCTCTCCTCTTCTGTCAGTCGACGTGACCTAGTACCGATTGGTCTTCTCTCTCTTTCTGTTTGTTAGTTAGTGAGAACTAGCATCGACTGATTTCTCTATTCCTCTGTCAATCAGTGAGGCCTAGATCGACTGATTTTCTCTCTCTTCCTCTGTCAGTCAACGAGACCTAGTGCTGACCGATTTTCTCTCTCTTCCTCGATCAATTAATAAGACATAACACTGACTGGTTTTCTCTCTCTTCTCCTGTCAGTTGGTGATACTTAGCGTCAACTTATTTTCTTTCTCTTCCTTCTAAACACAGTCGGCAATGCTTAACCCCGACTGTGCCGTCCATACCTCTCTCTCATTTATTCTCTCATCTTTCATACTCTTCTCTTCCTTCCTTCTCCCTCCATCTTTCTTTCCCTTCTTCACTTCTTATTCCTCATCATAACCTTAATTCTGCTACTCTTTCTTTCGACTAAGAGGGATTGAAATTAGCCTCTCATGATAGTCCTGCCGTCTAGCCATAATGTTGTTGTGTCAAGGTTACTTAGCCCGCGTTATTGCCACGACAGAATAACCATCGTACCTAGATACTCGGTATTGGTAACGACTTATAGTTACTGAGCCCTCTTTACCACCACGTCAGGCCAATTATCCATCAACCTAGTCACCGCCTTGATCCTCTCGCTTAGTCGCATTCTTCTCTCCCTCGTCTTTCTTCTCTTCTTCTTTTTGAATGCGCATGGTTGTGTACGTCCATCAAAGAGAAAAAAGGTTAGGTCTGACCCACCTGTTTTATAACCTTTGCCATATATGTATGTGATTGCAAAAAAACTGAAAACAAGAAGAATACAAGCCAAGAGAGGCGATTCTGAACCAATTTTATTACTGATAAGATTTCTTCGTGATCAAAGAAGGTGCCCAAACATGTCAGCCCGAAGAAGTCCCAAACCCACATTTAAATTCCTTTCTCACTTCATATTTTCCCAATGAACAATTATGAGGTATAATCAACATACAACTCAACCATGCCTGAAAACAAGCTTATCATTGACATTCAAATATTAAAGCATACAAAAATTATACACAATATTAAGCAAAACCCAAGGTTCAAACCCCTCTGAGGGCTCCACAAATGCAATTTATTCAGCACAACAAATACGCGAAACACCAGAGAAATAAGGAAAAGAGAAGCCAAAATCCTGCTCATCAAGACTCGTATGAAGCTCCCGAATCCATCAGCTTAGAGTGGACCATCAATAGCCAGAGGAACAGATTTTGCCTGCAAAAGGAAAAAAGAAGAAAATCACATTAAGAACAACCATATAAAAAATATTTATCATTGGCATGCCATTTTCGAAGTTATGGTCCCTTTACCGTCCAAGAAAGCCAAAAGACAGCAGTCATGGCAGAGTAGAATGGAAATAAACAACCTTGGAAGAAATATGGAATGGAAATTCCGTTTTGAAATTTTTGTTTAAATTGGAATTATTTCTCAAAATTCAAGGAAGCAACTCTGTAAAAATTTAATTCCTGAATTCCAAAATAAGATAATTTCTTTTAAGCAACTTTAGTTCGATTTAAGTTCTAGAAAACCATGTCCCAGGCACAAATCAGAAACCAGACTTCAAATTTAAGTTTTAAAACCTTGCAGTTATGGTAATGGCTAATACAAACTTATAGAAGCATTAAGAAATGGATGTAGGGGATATTAAGTCATTATTTTTGGGGGCCAACAATCATTTTTGGAACATAAAAGTTATTTTAAGCATTCAAAATTTCACTTAATGAGGAGTTGAATCTTACCAGATCTCGGAACTTGAGGATATAAAACATCTCCAAGTAACGACGAGTTTCACGCCTTTCAAGCTTTGAAACAAACTTCCAGAAGCCATAGACACCAGCCAGTGTCATCAACCTCTCAGAGTATATCTTCCATGTATAACTACAAACATATATAGAGAAGAAGGTTAAGAGAATAATCAGCGAAGAAAATATGAACAAACTTCACCACTCAATGGATGTAAATCAACCGAAAAAGGAAAAAAGAAGAAGAATTAAGGGTACATTAGCAATATCATTAATGTTACCAATCAATGGATGTTAATTAGTTTCAAAAATAAACTTTTTAAATAAATAAATAAGGAAGTGTGCATCCGCGATGTTATTTGCATTGGACCATACGCATGATCAATGTGTGTGTGTGTGTGTGAGAGAGAGAGAGAGAGAGAGAGATATAGAGAGAGAGAGAGTGTGAGAGAGAGAGAGAGAGAGAGAGAGAGAGACGAACATATATTTATACTACTCGTAGAAGTAAGTAACGTAAACGTACCTAATTACAAGTAATAAGTGTAGTCGCTAATACGAAGTAACGAACGTAACC